TGTTTGGAGGTTAGAGGACAATATCTAGGAGTTTCTTCTTTCATTACGTGGGTTCTGGGAACAGAACGGGTCATCAGGCTTAGAGACAAGCACCTACACACTGAGTCATTCTCTAGCTCCACAATTTAATTCTTAATGTAAAAATAAAAGAACACAGTTAACTCAGAATCTAAGTTCACTTTCATCTTTAATAAATGGTTAAAAATATATATATATATGAGTACCGAAGAGGTTTTTAAATACATCTCCTTCTGGTTTACTTTCACTCAAATTGGCTTGCACACTGGTCTCACATACCTCTCCACCTAGGGTCACATGACATTTCCCGGGTAACAAGGGATTGTGAAAGAACACTTCAGGAGCACCTGCATTGAAGAATTCCAAGTGTGTCAAGTCAGGGGCTTCTCGTGGCAAGTGGTGGGCGGAACTTCCCTTCCTGTAGCTTCAGCAAGGGTTGAAACTAGCTACAAAGTAGCTTCACAGTGGAGAAGCCTGGATCGAGGTCAAGACTCCACAAGCCCTGTTGGTGGACTGTGCCCTTGATGACAGGATGTGGCCCCAAAGGCATCTTGCCCCTGAAGTCACTGCTCTGACATCATCCGAAGAGTGGGGTGATACACCTGTGTTCCTAGCTACTTGGAAGGCTGAGGCAGGAGCATCCTTAGAGTCTAGGAGTTCAAGGCTGGCTTGGCAATGAAGCAAGCCTCTGTCTCAAGAGAAAATATTAAAATAAATGTAAGAAAAATCTCTGTGAGTTCGAGAACAGCCTGGTCCACATAAGTAAGTCCCAGGACAGCCAGAACTCCATAATGAGACCCTGTCTCGGAAAAAGAAAAAAAAGAAAAAGAAAAAAGAAAGCCTTAAATTGAAGGACACCCTAAGAGCACCTGGGCAGGCCTTCTGAGGCTGCCACGGTCACCAAAGAGAAAAGCCTGAGACACTGACAGCCCAGAGAGGGGAAGGAGACATGATAACTGATGTCTGCATGAGAAAAGGACATCCGGGGACAGCAGAGGAAATGGGTGTAAAATCCGGAGCTCGGAGAACAATAACATATTACTCGTGTTAATAATGGCTCATTAATTGTGATGAATGAGCCTCACTACCGTGAGCTACAACAATAGGGAAATGGGGTGCTGGGTAACAGACACTCTGTTACCTGTAACTTTTCTGTAACTCCAAATCTCTCAAATTATGCAGGTCTCATTTATTTCCTCACTTGCATGCCAAGCCAGGACTCCACTGCTGAGCCATACTCCCCAACCCCCTCAGGGGGAAACAAAGGCTTTGGAGACAAGGTCTTGTGGTGATATATTGTGTAGTCTAATAAAATTTACCTAAAGATCAGAGAACAGAACAAGCCACTAGATTAAACATAGAGGTCAGGCAGTGGTGGCACGCACCTTTAATTCTAGTACTCTGGAGGGCAGAGATCTGTTTGGATCTCTGTGAGTTCAAGGCCACACTGGGCTACATGAGATTGACTCAGTCTAGGAGCGAAACAGAGCCAGGCAGTGGTGGCACACACCTTTAATCCCAGCACTTGAGATCTCATGTCTTTGCTTGGGAAGCACACATGCCTTTAATCCCGACACTAGGAAGGTTGAGACAGGAAATGATATGGGTGGGTGGAGAAAGGTATGCAGGAGACAGGAACAAAAGCCTTTTCAGTTGAGGAAGCTCATTCGGCTAGAGGCCTTTCAGGCTGAGGAGTTGGTGAAGTAAGAGGTGGTGGCTGTGGCTTGCTCTGCTTCTCTGATCTTCAGTTAAATTTTATTAGGGTACACAATATATCACCACAAAGTCTCATTATGAAGTCAGACTGGCTGTAAGCCTGCAATCTTCCTCCCACAGCCCCTGAGGTGATGACATTGCAAACCAGCACCACGGCATATGGCCCCCAGTTTTCTTACTAATGTATCTATATGTGCACATGGAGGCCAGAGGACAGTTTGAGGTGTCATTCCTCAAGAGGTGTCCACCTTCTCACCAAGTCTGTGAGGTCCGGGGATCTGCCTCTCTGCCTACCCAGTGCTGGGATTGCAAGCGCGCTTTCAAGGGTTATTCACTTCAGCAAGGGAAGCTTACCAGCGGCTATAACACGAAGAAGTATGACTCCTCCCGTGGGGAGAAGCGGCCCTCTATGAGCCCCTCCCCGACCCACAGTGGAGTGCTGATGGACTTGTTTTACACAAGTAGCCGTTGTGGACGTGTGTTCACGGGTGCCACAGTTAGGTCAGGCATGTCCAGGAACCAGCCCTTCACAACATCCCTCCCGCCCCCCAGCTTTCTCTTTCCTTTTCCTCAGTGTTCCCTGAGCCCTGTAGGGGGCGATGTAGAGATCCCATTGACGGTTGAGCGATCCAGTCATCACTTCCTCTCAGCGTTTGGCCAGTTGTGAGTCTCTACACACTACAAATAGAAGCTTCTCTGGCTAACCATGAATGGCAGTGATCTATGGGGATAGACCTAAATACTTAGAAGGCCGTTTGAGGCCATGCCCACTTAGCCGAGTAGCAGTGCTAAGATCCCTGTAAGGTTTATGTCCTCTCCAGCTCTGGGTTTGTGAGGGGGTTACAGTACCAGAAATAGATTCCTCTTTCGGAGCAGGCTTCAGATTGAACCAGAGAGTGACAGTCACACCTGTCTTGTACCAGTGGGCACATCTTACCTGGCAGTTGGTACTGTAGTTCATAGGGCTCACAGGTATGTAAGACCCTCGACTTCCCTTCTGGCCCTCACCAATGGCACCAACCTAGATCCTTTGCCTCTACGGGCACTCCAAGTTAAACACAGACCTAAAAACTCGAAGTTAGGCTCCTCATAGAAAAGAGAACATGTAGTCTCTGTCTTTCCAGGCCGGGTGAGCTCACTCAGCACAGTATTTTCCAGTTCCATCCATTTTCCTGTGAATTTCATTTTCCCTTACAGCTTAGTAAAATTCATCGTGTATGTAGCACATTTTCATCATCATCCATGGGTTGATAGACAGGTTGGCTGATTCCAATTCCTAGCTATCAGGAACAGAGCAGCAATGAACACGGGTGTTCAAGAGTCTCTGTCGTAGGATACGAGTCCTTAGGTAAATGCCAAGGAGTGGCAAAGCTGGACCATGTGGCAGTTCTGTTTATTTCCTGAGAAAGTTCCCCGTTGGTTTCCATAGTGGCCGCACCAGCTGACACACCTAACCAACAGCAAATGAGGGTCGCCTTTCCCTGCCTCTTCACCATTGGTCCTTGTCCTTGTTTTCTTGACAATAGCCTTTCTGGCTGAGGTGAGACAGGACCTCAAAGTGCTTTTAATTTTCGTCCCCTTGACTATTGGGCTCTTTAACCTGCTTGCTGGAGACGCAGCAGAGGTCTTCACGCTTGTGTGGCAAGGGCTTCACCAACTCGGCCGTGCCCCAGTCCTCTCAAAATACTTTTAACTGTTTCCATTCGCCTACAAGGTACTCTCTGCAGGCCAATTTGTGACCATTGCCCTGTGTCAGTTGGAGCCTCCGATGCCCCAGAGCAACCAGGGCTGAACGTGTCAAGGGGACAGGTGACTGTGGAGTTGGCGTAATTGTTCAACCCATTTCCTCCTTTGGAAAAGCCACTCCCCTCATTCATGGTCTCATTCAGTCAGCACTCAGCCATTCACTTACTCATTTTCTTGTCTAAGGTTTTTATTTGCTTGCTTGTTTGTTTGTTTGGAGACAGGGTCTCCTCTGTAGCCTAAGCTGGCCTGGTTCATGCTATGCAGACCACACTGGCCTCTAGTCAGGGCAATCCTCCCACCCTTTGTGAGTGCTGGAATTGCAGGTGCATCACTGTGCTTGCTGCCTTCATCTAAGTTCTAAGTAAGATTTTAAACAAAATTGCATGTGTGGTGTGTATTTGCTCTCTCTCTCTCTCTCTCTCTCTCTCTCTCTGTGTGTGTGTGTGTGTGTGTGTGTGTGTGTGTGTGTGTGTGTGTGTGTAGGTCAGAGGATAACCTTGGGTGTTATTTCCTACCCTCCATCTTGTTTGAGACAGAGTCTCCCTCTTGTCCACTTATGACAGGCTATCGGGCTCATGCGCTTCCAGCAAGTCTCCTGTCTCTGCCTTTGGTCTCCCAGTGAGGTACATTGTGCACTGTCGCACTGCCTTTGCGTAATTCGGGAGACTCATACTGAAATCATCAGGCATGCACAGCAAGTATTTTACCCACAGAGCCCTTAAATAGAATGTTTTCACCACTGCTCCTGTGTCATGTTTATTTATCTGGCTTGTTATTTATTGTTTGCATTGCTTCAGAATCTACTGTTTGAACATCCTGCAGTGCATACATTTATTGTGTTTATTTTATTCTATTTTTGCAGTGCTGGGAATTGAATCTAAGGTCTTGTTCCTGTAGACAAATGCTCTTCTACCGAGCTACACCCCCAGCAACAGAGGATGTGTTTAGGCTTGGCTACCAGTGAGAGTTCCCGTGAAGAAAAACACCAACATGATTACAATCTGTGATGAATGGCAAACAGATGAAAAGAAAACCAGAAAGAATAAATACACTTCACCTCAGAGTCTTGGAGAGCTACATGCTCAGGAGATAGTTTGAAAAGGCTTAAAAATTGCAAGAAAGGGCTGGAATGATGGCTTAGCAGGTAAGGGTTCTAGCTATGCACACATCGCGCACACACATACACACGTGCGCACACACACACACACACACACACACACACACACACGTCTTCTCTATAGTACAGAGAATGATCTGTGATACCCATGCTGTCAGTTTTGAGTGAGTGAGTTTATTAGGTAGATAGCAAGGAGCAGATAGAGAGAAAAAGAAACACTGTGGAGTCAGGAGTTACAGCATCCACACGGACAACAGGAGGAGACCAATTGAGAGAGCAAACAACAGGTAACACCATCAAATGGGGCTCCAGCGTCTACTGGGGAGGCGTGCTGAGGCAGCAGCTGAGTTTTGGGTTGAGTTTGGGCAGAGCAGAGTTCTCTTTCCATGGTAGAGTTCCCCATAGATGGACTTCTGAGTTCTCCTTTCTACTGCAGTATTTTCATATGATGGGATAAATAAACACAGTTTCAAAAATATTACAAGATAAGCCAATCATGGTGGCACAGGCCTTTAAACCTAGCACCTGGGAGCAAAGCCAGGAGGATCTCTGTGAGTTCAAGGCCAGCCTATCTACACAGAGATTTCTAAGATAGCCTGGTCTACACAGAGAAGTCTAGGCTAGCAAGGTCTATACAGTTAAGAGCCTGTCTCAAAAAAAAAAAAAATTAGAAGAAATTTCTTGCTAGACAGAAAAGACAAGGAAGGGTCCTCCAAGCAGAGTCATAACCTGTGCAAAGGCCTTAAGGTTCAGGAGGTTTGAGGGACCTGCTTGAAGAAAGACAATGGGCAATGATAGCCTTCACATATTTAGGCTTGTTGTGTGTCAAGCATTATAGTGGCATGTGTACGGACTTTGGGTGGCTTCTTGAACACACCGAACCATCCACGTGGCTTGAGATCTGCTGATCTTCCCATTGTGGAGTCCTGAAGTCCAAGACTGTGTTAGATAAGGCTGAGGCCAAGGTGCTGGCAGACTGGAGCCTATCTGAGCCTCTAGGACACATCTGTCACTACCTCTTTGGTTCACAACCACTTCTTCCATGTGAAAACCAGGCACATGGCTACTTGGACTTTTCTATTGCCTGTATCAGACCACTCTACCCTATACAACCTTCCTTGCCTTGACCCTCCTTTGTCCCCCCCCTTGTGTGTGTGTGTGTGTATTGGAAGTCATAGGTTGATACTGGCTATCTCCCTAGTTGCTCTCTATATTGTTTTTTGAGACAGGGTCTCTCATTGAACCTAGAGTTCACCAACTCTAGTAGAAATGGGCTGGCCAGCGAGCTCTAAAGATCCCCTATCTTTGTCTCCATAGTGCTGGATTACAGGTGTGTGCTACAGGATTGTGAAGTTCAGGACAGGAATGACATACTGCAGAGCCAGCTACAGTTCACCTGGTCCATGCATATAGCCCTCCCTTGGCCACTAAGTGTCCCATAATTGCCTTCAGCGTCTGTTCTGCAGTCCAGGGCATGAAAAACCTGCCCATTGCTGACATTAGCTTCTTGGTACCTGCCTCTCAGATGAATATGTGTGTGACACACATGCATGTTCATGCGTGTCCACAGTGCACATACACACAGGGTATATGTTTGGGTATATGTGTGTAGGCTAAAGGACAACCTTGAATTTTGTTCTTCAGGCATCACAGTCCCATATTTGGAGACAGGCTTTCTCAGTGTCTGACACTTGCTGTAGTACACAAGGTTAGCTGGTCTGGGAGACCCAGGGAGATAGGTGTTTTTAATTTCCTAGTGCTCATGACACAAGTATGCCACTGCATCCTGTCTTCCCCCCACCCCATGCACTTCAACGCCTTCTAAATGTGTGTTCTAGACACTCAATTCAAGTCTTCAGGCTTACAAGGCATGCTTTACTCAGTCACCTCCTAGCCCTGTCATCCTCTTGTAAGGAAGTACTCACCTGGATAATCATGATTCATCTCCCTATACCTCAAGACACTGAATGGTACCACATCTCCCACACAAGGTGCTGTAGTCATGGGTGTGGGGATCGTAGTGGACTTTTCTGGGGAGCCTCAGTTATCAGTGCTAGGAACCATCACAAGCCTTATAGCCACACACACTTCCTTTTTACAGAGGCAGAAACCAGGGTGGGGGAAGCAAAGTGTGGTAGTTCAAATGTAATTGCCCCCATAAGCTCATGGGGAGTGGCACTATTAGGTGGCTTTGTTGGAGTAGGTGTGGCCTTCTTGGAGGAAGTGTGTCACTGTAGGGTCAGGCTTTGAGGTCTCCTATGCTCAAGATATTCCCAGTGCCTTAGTCCACTTCCTGTTGCCTTTAGATCAAGATGTAGACTTCTTAGCTCCTTCTCCAGCACCATGCCTACCTGCATGCCACCATGTCTTGCCATGATGACAATGGACTAAACTTCTGAATTGTAAGCCATTCCAATTAAATGTTTCCCTTTTTAAGAGTTGTGGTCATGGTGTCTCTTTACAGCAATAGAAATCCTAACTAAGACAGATGTTGGTACCAGGGACTGGGGTATTGCTGTGATAGGCCTGACCATACTTTTATTTGAAGGAATATAGACCTTGGGACTGTGGATTAGAAAAGCAGTTGAATGCTTTCAGTGTGCTTAATGGGACAAATTAGTAGGAACATGGAAAACAGTTGTGCTAAGGGTGATTTGAACTGTGGGGACCTGGCCCAAGAGGTTTCAGAGAAGAAAAATATCAATGTGTGGCCTAGAGATTGTTCTTGTGATATTTTGGTAAGCTGCTTTTTGTCCTTGTCCAGAGTCTGAGTGGGGCTACAGTGAATAGTTTTGGGTTAATTCCATTGACAGAGGAAATCTCAAAACAGCCTAGTATAGACTCTGTGATTATTAGTGTTAATACTAATAAAGATTTATAGTGAAAGGAGAAAGCTGAGAAAGGAAAAACACAAAATGTACAATTTGAGGAGAAAAGGAGCACTAGAAAATGGAATGGAGTCCTGTGTTCAAGGAGATAAACAGAAAAAAGAAATGGAATAAAGGAAGTGGTGACCTCAGGGTGAGATCCCACCCAGCTAAGTTTCCAACCTGTGAAAAGGAGTTAAAGAAAAGCTTAGAGCTGGATGTGGTGGTACACACTTTAACCTCAGCAATTGGAAGGCAGAGGCAGGAAGATCTATGAGTTCAAGGACAGCCTGGACTACAGAGTGAGTTCCAGAACAGCCAAGCTTAGGCAGTGAAGGGAACCATCAAAAACAGAAGGCTGGTGAAGATTGAACAAGGGGGCCATGCTTCAGCCTCAGCAAGCAGCAAAACTTGGCAACATCAGCCACATAGTTCTGGCTTTAGAGTCTAGGATACAAGAAAAGCATTATGGAACCTTCTGCCATGACTAAGGAAAACCACTGAGGCTATGCATGTGTGTGTCAGGGGTGTCCTTGAATGGAGGCCTAGAGAGACCATTTCATGAAGCTATGAAGGAAAAGTCTGGATTGCCTTGGAAACCCCAAGATGTTGGAGATACCAGAGTCATGGATACCTGCCGAGGAGAGCTACTAACAGGGAGTGGAACCAGCCCAAGAGAAAGAAGTGTGTTGCAGCCAACAAAGCTGAAAGGAGTTGGAGATCTGAAGAGCGTTTTGATACCAGACATGAAGATGCAGAGTCTAGAATTTGCCCTGCTGGTTTTGCTTTGGTCCAGTATTTCCTCACTCTGCCCCCTTCTCTGTGTTTTGGAATGATAATGCATATGTTGTGCCAAATATGTATTTGTTGTGTATATGTTGTGTGTCCAATGTTGGAAAGTATGTGATCTGTTTTTTAATTAGATTTTATAGGGGATTACAATTAAGAGATTATATGAATCTCAGAAGAGACTTTGAACTTTGGACTTTTAAACATTGTTGAGACTGTGATAGACTATAGGGACTTTTGAAGTTGGACTAAAGGTATTTTGCATTATGATATTGTTACAAGTTTATGGTGGCCAGAGAGTGAAATATAGTAGTTTGAAAGTAATTGGCCCCATAAGTTCACGGAGAGTGGCACTATTAAGAGATGTGGCTTTATTAGAGTAGGTATGGCCTTGTTAGAGGAAGTGTGTCACTGTAGGGGCAGGCTTTGAGGTGTCCTATGATCAAGATATTCCCAGTGTCTCAGTCCACTTCTTGTTGCCTTTAGATCAATATGTAGACTTCTCAGCTCCTTCTCCAGCACCATGCCTGCCTGCATGCCACTGTGTCCCACCATGATGATAATGGACTAAACTTCTGAACTGTAAGCCTGCCTGAATTAAATTTTTCCTTTATAAGAGTTGCTGTGGTCATGGTGTCTCTTCGCAGCAATAGAAACCCTGACTCCCAGACTGGGAGTGACTTGAGTGTTGAGGAAGCTAAGGATGTATGTGTGGAGTGTCCTTTGGGTGAGATGGAACACAAAGAGTTTTGTGTTCCCATTCTACTCTTGCAGTACAGCAGATGAGGAAGCCCGGATGCTGAGAAGGGCAGCGCAGTAAGGCTGGGAATGAAGGCTCCTGTTACACTACAAAGCACAGTGCATTTTAATCTTGAAGATTTGACCTTTCCTCCCCTTACCCCCTTTCCCTTTCCCGTTCTTTCCTTTTCCTCTCTCTTTTGATGTGTGAGGATGATGATCAAACCCAGGGCCTCTTGGATGCTAAGCATACACTCCACCATTGAGCTACAGCCCAGGCCTATCCAGTATTTGTGTGGATATCTCTATCCAGCAGACTGATAGATAAACAGATAGACATGTATGTCTGGGGAGGTGGCTCAGCCAATAAAGTGCTTCCTATGCAAACAAGAGGCGCTAAGTTTGTTCTCCAAACCCATGGAAAGAAGCCTGGCATGATGATGTGTGCTTGTAATCTCAGAGCTGGGGGATAGAGACAGGGGCATCCCTGGCCAGACAGTCTAGCCTAAGAGATGAGCCTCAGGTGCCAATAAAATGCCCTGTTTAAACATCAAGGTAGGTGGACCCTGAGGTTGTTCTCTGGCCTCCACACCCACATGTACCATGTGCACACATACCAGCACATTGGCACAC